ACGCTGATGCCGTCCCGCTGGTTCAGCTGACAGTGGTTCATTTTTATAGCAAAGACATGGTTTCAGACTGCTTGCTGTTCTCTGTGTTGCTGGTTTCTGCTTGCAGGACTCTGACTCCTCAGCAGAAAGGGGCATAGATTTCTGATACAGTAGGCAAGATCAGTGAGTGCCAACAGGATCACAGCTAAATACATTTGGCTGCTATGATTCTCTCACTATGTTAGCACTTACCCAGAAGGTCCCTGCAAAGCCCAGGTATCATGGTTATCATATTACTGCCTTGTGTTACAAGGTGCCCCATGCTCTTCTTGGCTCAGATATCTGTTACATGATATCAGTCTAGCTTTCTGATGTTTGCTGGCCTCTCCTCTACTTGGTTTTTAGTTTGAGTTGAATGCTTTGATGACGCAGTCTGTCCTTTCTGCATCTTTTAGCTTTTATACCAATGAGATTTCTATGAGATCCATTGAGACCTGAACTCAAACTGTCTGGACCTAATGAGCTACATGTTTCTCTGAGTCTCCCGCTGCAAGCGGTCCCTTGACTTCATCCAGGTACTCCAACTCCTTAAAGCCTCTGACTTCTGCTAGGCTAAGATCTGTTCTTAACACTCTTCCCTTGGTCTAATTTTGAGGTGTTTAGACCTTCCTCTCTGTGGCTGTTGAATGGCTTTCCTTCAGAGATCTCCCTGGAGGAAGCTACTTTGCTTCTTAGAGCCTTCTAACTCAGTTCACTTCTAATGCTTGGTTTTAAGATGTCACCAGTGAGTTATCCTGTGCTGTAACTCTTGAGCTCAGTGCTGAGCAATATCATGCTGCCATGGGGTATATTTGCTCAGCAGTGGAATTTGAGTGGGGTGGGATCAGCAAAGTCCCAAACCCACGGCCTGTCTTCTGTGTTTCTGGCATTCTTAAATGTTTGGTATTAATAGCTGAGGCAGTATAAAGAATCCTAGAGGATTTGCTGAAAGCAGCTTAACAAGCTTGGTTGAAGGATTTATGTGCTCTCTCAAGAGATGCTGGTGAGTGGCACGTGTGTGAGGGTTAAAAACCCAGCAAAGAAGGTGGGAGGAGGAATTCTGATGGGAGCAGTGAGAGGTAGCCCAGATAAATGGAGTGCTGAGGCCTGAATTGTTAGTACTATAGGCATTTTATTCCACCATAAGCAGCAGGTACTGAGTCACTTAGCAATGGGGCGTGATTGTGGGGTAAGTGGCAGGCACGTTTTGTTAGTACACTGCCTCCTTTGGCTTCTTTTTGTCAGGTGAGTTAATGCAGCTGGGCACAACTGTGAGTGCGGTGCCTGGAGCAGCATTGAAAACTCGGGGCATTTGCAGATCAGGCAAGGCTGTTCCCACATCGTGAATTTGCTGGTGATAAGGAGTGTTGGGCAGACGGCTAAAAGAACAGGATCTTGGTATTTGGTGAGCCACGCAGGAAGAGTGTTCTTCTCCCAGGTACAGCCAAATGTCTCCATAGTTTAATAATACATTTTGTGTTGAGCTTGCATTCCCGCTGTTGTGCATTGGTTTGAGGTACAAAGGGGATTTGTAGCAATAGGCTTCAGGAACAGGCAGAGCTGATGTGTGCAAGGCAGCAGTCTATCCTCTGGACCAACCTGCTGGGCCAGGACTTGGGGGGCCTGCATTCTCCTCTTGAGTCTGCCACTGAGCTGCTGAGTGGCATGGACAAATCTCTTCCATTTTTCCATGTCTCCTGTAAACCAGTTGAAAGTGCTTTCCTCCTTTGTAAAGTGCTTTGAGGTCTATTATATATGAGTCAGACATTTATTATAATACAGTTAAACTGTTCTAACTATTTAGTGCAGCAATCTAAAAGCTGCTATTCTTTTCCCATTGCAGGTGGGCGGTAAAAATGGTGCAGAAGTATCAGTCGCCTGTTCGAGTCTACAAGTACCCCTTTGAGCTTGTCATGGCGGTGAGTGACGCATTGTACTTCTACCCCCTTTCCAAACAGCTGAGCAATACTGAAGACTTGACAGTAACCTCTGGTTTATGAGCCATTTGGGTGATAGGAGGTGTGGGACTGCAGCTTCAGATGTCTTGTTGATGGATCACTTAGGGGAATTGTCTTGAAGATGTTCCAGGGGACAGACAGGTGTCTGTCTTCCATATTCTTGGCAGTTCTGCAGAAATAGTTTAATCTATTCAGCTAGTCTATTAGTTATTTTTAATTCAGTAAAATTGATTCATGAGATGACCTGAGCATGGAAGCAGTGCCAGAAAGAGAGGAAATATAAATGCTGTCTTGATATATTGTTAGTTTTCAGTATAGGTATGTGTGTGTACATGTTTAGGTCTCTATCAGCAACCACCTATAATAGAGAACTGTCCTTCATGGTTTATTCTTCAACACTGTGGCAAGCCGTTGAGTCTGTCTGGTTAAGGGATGTCAATGCCTTTAAAGAGGCACTTCACTCAGCCAGATGTGTGGTTATTACCAACCTCTTCAAATATCCTTCTGTTTAGAAACTCCCATTTCAAGGGAATATATTAATAAATTGGTAATGAGTTTATTCCTGATGTATTTGAGTTCCATAGGCTTGTCTGAGACCAACTCATCAGGCCTGAGATGTGTGTGGGTCTGAGATCCATGTAGTGAAGCAAGATTAGAAGCTGTTAAAAATGTAGAAAATGTTCTGCAAAAGATTTTTTTTGTCCTTGTTTTTTCCTTTTCCTTTTTTCACCTGAAACACTGGCAGATTCTGTAGTGGCCAAAGTGCGCTTTCCTGCTGGTGGTGCATAAGGGTAAGGTGGCCATGCTAACTCTTCCCCAGATTGGCAGGCTTTAGTACTGATTACCAGGGGTTTTCTCTGATTAAAAATTGCAAATTCTCTGATTTAAAAACCCAAAATCCGTGATAAAAATTAAATCCTGCCCCCCGGCCCTGCTGGTGCCCCACACTCCCCCCAACAGTCTCAACAGCCCTCCTGATGCCCCTCGCATGAGCCTCCCAGACCCGCAGACACTGGCACCCCAGCAGGTAAGTGTGTGTGGGGAGAAGGAGCAGGGCAGGGTGGGGGAAAGGGAAGGTGCTGAGATCAAGAAAGGGGAGAGTGTGCCCCTGTGCCTCTCCCAGGAGCAGGGCCAAGGGGTGAGGGCAGGGGGTGCCACTCTGTGGGCCATACACATGCCGGCCGGCCGGCCTGACAGGAGGTTCACACACAGAGGCCGCCACCGCAACTCTGCCACTGCACCCTGTGCTACCAACCCATGGCCACCTGCACAGCTTTGTGGGCAAGTGGCACAGGGTGCGGCAGCAGCAGTGCGGTGACACCCACGTTGTGCAGGCCACATATGTGCTGCCCGGCCAGGGCGTGAAACAGGGAGCTTGCATGCAGCAGCATGCCCCGCAACTGGCTGCACAGCTCTGCAGTGGTGTGGGGTGGTGGCTGCAGCATGCAGGGTGGTGGGACTTTGTGGGCAAATGCTGCCACGGGAGAGCCACATGCCCTTTGGCCCTGGATCCTAGAGGTAAGTGGGGCTTGGGAGCTGTGGGGCAGGGCTGGGGAAGATGGTTGGGGGCTGAGGGAGTGGGGGGTGCTGTTGGCCCCTGGCGGCACATTGCAGCTGGGAACAGGGCCGGGGGTGAGGGCAGGGGTGCCCCTCTGTGGGGAGCTTTGTGGGCAAGCGATGCGGGGCTCAGTGTGGTGGTACCTGCCATGTGCAGGCTGCACACATGCTGCCTGGCTGCCTGCCTAGGGGAGCGGGAGAAGGAGGCTGGCAGGCGGCTGGAGCACAGCTCTGTGGCCGTCTCTGCAGCCATGGTAAGGGATGGGGGCGCGGGGAGGGGCAGAAGCTTGGGCTTGCATGCGGTGCTGTTGCTTACCTGGAGGCCCGTGATGGCCGCTGTGTACAAAACCTCCCGTTGCCGCCACGGAGCCGTGCCCGGAGCTGTGCGGCCAGGCGGCAGTGGCAGCGTGGTGGTGGCTGGGTGGCATGCAGCTATTTCCACCACCACCCGCGTTTTCTCTGATTAAAAACAGGGAATCTGTGGTTTTCTCCATTTTTCTGTGGGAAACGGAAAACCTGGATCTCTGATGGTTACCATACAGTACTTTTATGTATGCCACTGCCAAGAGGCCAAGTGTTTCTTAGGTGGGTTTGTTCTTGGAGGACAGCACTAAGCAGTTGGTCATTGAGTCTGGAGGCCCAAGTGCTTCCTGCAAGCCTTATGCTGTCTTTTCCTGTTAGTACCGTCACTTGGAAGGACTGTGGCTTTTGATTGCAAATGTCCTGAGGACATATCTGCTTTCTGCTGAACTAGGGCTCTAGCAGCACCCCAAGTCTGACAGAAATGGGCAACAGAAGTTAAAAACTTGTGTGCAGGGAGAAATATTTAGATGAGTGGGAGTGCCTGCATCTAACAGAGAGCTGATAGTCCATTCCACTCTCTTTTCTGGCCCTGGCACTGCTTTCTGTATAACAGTGGCCCCAGTGCCTTTCCTAATGAACAGCTGGTCCTGAGCAAGACCAATGTTTCTGACACTCTTCCATCTAGTCTTTTGCCACCAGAGTCAAGATGGGCTGAGAAGTGCTTGCTGTTTACTTCTGCATGTGAATGCACCATGACTGTGGCACTATGTTCTCACCTGGGAGCTGATGCCACTTCCTTCAGTGCTCCTTTGCAGGCAGGGTCTGGTGTGAGAGGCAGAATATTAGTTCCTTTTTCATGTTTCATGTTTTTCCTTGTAAATTGGGGTGTGAGTAATAGCAGAACCTCACAGCTATGGCAACACTTGCTAAGAAAACATCTCCAGGCCTAACGTTGATCACCCTAGTGCAGGGGCAGGCAATGATTTCGGGTGGAGGGCTGCTTACCGAGTTTTGGCAAGCCATGGAGGACTGCATAGGTAGCCCCGCCCCTTGACAGGTGCCTCACCCCCTGGTTGCCATCTTGGGACCAGAAATCCTGCCCCCTAACCCCTGACTTTTGTCACCAGAAGTCCCTCCCTATGCCCTCCAGAAGTACTCCTTTCAGCAGGGAGTTTTGCCATCTTTGAACCAGAAAAATACCAAATTATATTCTAAAAATCAAACATGTACTACAGCATTCATTAATTTCATTTAAAAAAATTTTTGTCCTAAGTTACATGCGTTTGTGTAGTGTACACAGAAGTGATTGTATAATGGCTCTCTTAAAATGAAGTCCTCTTGTATATTGTGGAAGGGTGTGGGGGAGGGTGTGGCTAGGGAGGGCTGTGGCTT